ATAGCAGAATCTACTAAATTATCGTATAATATCGGAATTTTACCCCCAATATCTATTTCTTCATCAAAACTTGACTACAAAACAGTCAAAACTTCCAGCTCAGTTTTCCCGCCATATTTATCCTTGCCATATAAGACAACGTCGCCATAGTAACCACAACAAACTCGTTATCAGTTCATTGCATCACACATCGATCGGCGCGCCTATAGCCGTTTCACCGCCCTATATATAAGCGCCCTGGTCAACACATATGTCTCCGCTCTCGGGTATTCATATAAACTTTTCAATTTGACTGACCCACCAAAAGTCTTTTTCATTATGCAAATGCTAAAGGTCTGTGCAAAACTGTGCTTTCACTTGGATAGTCAGTTACCAATAACCCTTCCAATCCTTACCCGATTACTTATGGCTGCTTCACAGTGTATTACCACTACATATGATCAATGCCAATTTAAAGCCATGTGTGCTCTGGTATTCTTCTCCTTTCTACGTATTGGCGAACTAACTTCAACATCAAAGCAGTCTCCTATTCCACTACATTTAAACCAACTCACCAAACTCTTAAGAGACGGTGAAGTAATTGGTTTTAAAATAACCTTCATCGACTATAAACACAATTACAACCAACGCCCGTTTTCCAAGGCCATTTATCGTCAGCCAACCCCCAAGCCTTGCCCTGTACAACTTTTGTGCAATTATTTGACCGGCCGTGGCAATTCTCCTGGGCCAATTTCCATGACTCCTGTGGGAGCGACGGTGCTGAGAAACAGGTTTATTTCCTATCTCAATCAATGCTTAAAATTTTGCAACCTCAATCCTACGGTTTATAAATCTCACAGTTTCCGAATTGGCGCAGCATCATTCGCAGCTGAGCAGGGCTTGTCTGATGCGCAGATTTGCGTCTTGGGTCGTTGGAAGTCCAATGCATTTCACAAATACATTCGAGTTTCAGCCCTTACATCGTCATAAATTATAGATATTTAACCCTCCCCCGGACAAAAATGCGGAGTGTTGTCTGGTGGAGACTTTAAGGGTGGCAGGGCGATGTTGTCATACAGGGGCTGACAATACCTTTCTGCCGCGTTTTTCTTAGGTTTGCCAAATTATTGTTTGGTTGTGCAACTCGCTTTGCGCTATACACTTAAGGCTTGTTTCAGCAGTTAGCAAGGGCAGCTTCCATTTTTTCGTAATACTCAGTTTAATAATGACAAGACAGTTAGCAGGGGCTACTGCTACCACGTTGTAAAACATGTTTCAGACAACTTACAAGGGCGGCTGATCAACGACTTCGCTGGATATACATTTATACCAGTTTCCATATATCGAGTATGCTAGTTTTGGAGCAGTCTCCAAGGGCGACTGCCTTCAATTTTCATAATTTTTGAGGTTTATATCTCGTGACGTTCTTTCAGAATTTTCCAATATGTAAAGTAATACGTGTATGCATGGTTGAGGCCATGTAGCGTTGCATTTTCTCGGGTGGGGAGACTTTTGATTCGTCCCTCGATGCTTAGGGCGAATTGCAAAGCCTTTGGCGTATATTCCTGCCACCTTTACTGGCTATAGAACACTTATATAATCAATCTTGACTTCAGTATTATTTTGATGTCAGAGAATATGTTATTTTATTAAAGATTTTCAATAAAGCGGCTATGAACTATATTCAATTCATAGCCAAAATTTTTCCCTTAAAAGTGTCGTCTAAAATTTTGTGCCTGCATGCCAGTAAACCAAGCTCGGTTAATGCTGTTTGATCCTCATAAACTCGAAAGGGAAGGTGGAAACATAAATATATAATATACATATACACATACACATACACACACACACACACACATGTATATATTTATAACGACTTGTTAAGTTATGATGTTAGTTGCATTTCGGAGGTTAGTCCTTCAATGCATAAAGCCAGCTATTAGTCTGGCAATGTTGTATGTGAATGTTGTGGTTTCCCACGTTTACGATTCCACTCGTGTAACGTTATGTAATGGTTTTTGAGTTGTTTTCAGACGAGTGTATACCAAACCGGGCAAGCAGAAAATTCTACTTGACCGCGGCTGGGATTCGAACTCGCGACCTTCGTATTTCTAGAACGATGCTCTATCGTCTGAGCTACAAGGTCAAGCTGAGAACGACTTGTTAAGTTATGATGTTAGTTGCATTTCGGAGGTTAGTCCTTCAATGCATAAAGCCAGCTATTAGTCTGGTAATGTTGTATGTGAATGTTGTGGTTTCAGCAACTCCATCGACCGTCATCACAGACGATCAACGAAGATGGGTAGTGGGAAACCACAACATTCACATACAACATTGCCAGACTAATAGCTGGCTTTATGCATTGAAGGACTAACCTCCGAAATGCAACTAACATCATAACTTAACAAGTCGTTCTCAGCTTGACCTTGTAGCTCAGACGGTAGAGCAT